CACCAGGAATGTAGTTTAACACACCTTGCAACTATTCAGCAATAATTCATCCTTCCTTTATAATCTGTTCCACCTGGTGGAGGGCCACTGCCAGCCATCCAGCCACCCACCTGGTCAACCTGTTCCAGCACTGTTGCTGGGACGCATTGCCCTCCGCTTTTACCAGCATTAAGGCAGTGGGGGAGAGAGAGTTTTCTCTTCATTGAGCCAGACATAGGAGCCCCATCCAATGTTCCCCAAGTTCTTTCAGAGATGCTTTCACTTAATCCACTTCATCGGGGAATCAGCCCACTATGGAACAAGTGACTGCACTGGGCACTTGGCAAATTGCAACAAAATGAATTTAAAAATCTATTCTATGCACTGAGTTCTTGGGCTGCTGTGGGGAAATGAAATAACCCCACGCTGTGAGAGAAAATTTCCTTCCCAGCCCCAAACAAGTGGCTAGCAGAAGTCCACTGCAAGGCCCACCAAACCAGTCCTACTCTAATGTCATGGGGAGGAGGAAGCTTTTCTTTCTAGCAGAAAGCCTTTCCCTTGGATGCATGGGAACCAACAATCTTATGCTACACCGTTCTGTACACACAATCAGTCAGTCACAAAGCTCCCTCCCTCAGGCCCATTAGGAGGCCGGGGGTGGGTAATCCTTAAAGGGGCCAAAGCTTCCTCATCTCTGAGGCTAGAAAAAGGATGGAAGGTATAGTGTAAACCCTTGTTCACTGCACACTACTTCTCTGCTTCTTTGCCCAGTAAGTCAGTCGGACCTTATTATAGTAGTTTAAATACTTGAATTGTTTTTAAAACGAGCATATTATAAAGAATTAAATAAATGAATGTGATTCTCTCCCAATACAATGTATTTCTTTGAGTCTCTGCTAATCAAGGAAATAGCTTAATAAGCATGTTTTCTAACTCCAGGAGGGTGTACCAATTAAAAGTATTCCACTGCAATAGAAGTATTGTATTTCCACACTGTTCTATACAATGTGTAATATTAAACAGTCTCAAAAATCCTACCAATATGCAGATTTTCATAATATGGTATTAATCTGCAGCATTTATACTTCATATTTCATGTATTATACCAATAACTTCATCATTTACTTTGCTTTTAAAAGTAATTTGTGTAGTAACAATAAATCTAACACCTTTTTGGACTCTCATAATTCCCTGTGGTCTTGTTACGTGGAATGATTGTTACATAATTATTAAATTTTCATTCTTTTCAATGTTATGTAATTGTTTGACAAACAAAGGAGTTTAAAGAGAGGAGCCTTACGGCACAGTTTGGATTTGCCTTGGTTTGCCATGGCAACACTTTCACCTCCCTGGGGGCAATCTTACCCTCCCTCCCAGTGATGTGTAATGTTGATGTTTGTACAGGTGTGATGATAACTGCTGTTAATCTCCAGATCTCCAAAACACAACATGATTCAATATAAACCTCTAAAGCTGACCAGGCCATTAAAAGTTCGGTCAGCAGCATAGCGGGGTTAAGGCAGGCTCCCTACCTGGCTCCATGCAGCTCCCAGAAGCTGCCGGCATGTCCCTCAGGTCCCTAGGCGCAGGGGCAGCCAGGGAGGCTCCGTGGGCTGCCCCCGCCCCGAGCGCCGGCTCTGCAGCTCCCGTTGGCCGGGAATTGCAACCAATGAGAGCTATGGGGGCGGTGCGCCTGCGGGCAAGGGCAGTGCGCAGAATCGCCTGGCCACGCCCTCTGCCTAGTAGCCAGAGGGATGTTGCCACTTCCCAGGAGCTGCCTGAGGTAAGCAACGCCCTGAGCCCACACCCCAAATCCCCTCCCACACCCAAGCTCCCTCCCAGAGCTGGCACCCTGCACGCCCTCCCATATCCCACTCCCCTGCCCCAGCCCAGAGCCCCCTCCCACACTCCAAACTCCTCAGCCCCACCCTCCCACCCACAGCACACACCTGCACTCCAAACCCCTCATCCCTGACCCCACCCCAGAGCCCACACCTCTAGCTAGACCCCTCACCTCCTCCGCACCCCAACCCTCTGCCCCAGCCTGGAGAAAATGAGCGAGTGAGTGAGGGTGGGGGAGAGCGAACGACGGAGGGAGGGAGGATGGAGTGAGTGGGGGGTGCCCTCAGATAAGGGGCAGGACAGAGGTGGGTCCTTAGGGCAGTGGGCGGGACAAGGGTGTTCAGTTTTCTGCAATCAGAAAGTTCGAAACCCTATTCCTTCTATTTCCACAAGACCAACTGATTTTCCAGACATTCAAAAGAATCACAAAGCATGCCATGATGATCAATATCTAAAAAGAATTACCTGATAACATCCTTCTAGATCAAGTAGTTAATATTTCTCTCTATAAAAGATTATGAGTCACTATCAATTTTTCTAGCCTTCAGCTACCCTTCCTGAAAAGGTCATACCTAAAACCCATCCCCGTCCTCACCCCAAGTGCTTACTGTGGAATATTCTCTGACTCTGTACTGTATTTGCTTCACAGACAGAGGCTGATACTAGGATAGCTAATATAAAACAGCAAACTGTCAAAACAGATGCATTTGTTTACTTGTGACTATCAGCTACTGGCCAAGAAAATTAAGAGTTTTCAGCCACATTCATGTTTTCTTGTGTGTTTTCCTTTAGAACCCTAGTTGGATTTTCCAAATGATTTGATACAGGCACTAATTTTAATAATCTTCAATCACAAAACAGGGCCAATTCTCAAAATAATTTTACAGTTACATAATATACATTCGTATATTTCAAAATCTGAGTATTACATTTAATAAATCTCACTTAAACAGCTATTTTTACATTGGTGAGTGAACTGACATTTTCCCTTTGGCAGTGAATAAATATTACTCTTAACTATTGCAGATTCATCCATCTGAACTGGATTTATTAAGCAACATTTAGGCAATGTATGTAAGTGCCAAAATATCACTGCAATCATCTGTTTTGATTAAATTAGTGGTTAGCTCATGTATCTACTAACTGCATGATTTCACTCTAGTCACGAATTTTTATAAGGGTATGTCTACACTATGAAATTAGGTCGAATTTATAGAATTTGATTTTTAGAAAGCTATTTTATACAGTCGATTGTGTGTGTCCCCAGTAAGCGCATTAAGTCAGCAGAGTGCGTCCACAGTACCGAGGCGAGCGTTGACTTTCGGAGCGTTGCACTGTGGGTAGCTATCCCACAGTTCCCGCAGTCTCTGCCGCCTATTGGAGTTCTGGGTTAAGCTCCCAATGCCTGATGGGGCAAAAACATTGTCACGGGTGGTTTTGGGTACATGTCGTCAGTCGCTCCTCCCTCCGTGAAAGCAATGGCAGACAATCATTTCGCGCCTTTTTTCCGTGTGGGCGCCATCCTGCTTTCAGCAGACGGTGCAGTAGGACTGCTAACCATCATCATCGAACCACCGCCTCTGCTGCCACTCTGCTCTTCTGCTCTTGTCTCAATAGCGAATTTCTCCAAGCTGTCTCTCATGGGCTCCCGCTTCAACTCTGCACTCCTGCTCTCATGAATCCACCTCACAGGTGATCAGCCACCACTTCCGCTGCCACTCCGCTCTCCTGCGGACGCCATACCATGGCACACATGGAGCCCGCTCAGATCACCACGGCAGTTATGAGCATTGTAAACATTTCACACATTAACATGCAGTATATGCAGAACCAGAACCTGCAAAAGCAGGCGAGGCGGCGATGGCAGCGCGGTGAGGAGAGTGATGAGGACATGGACACAGACTTCTCTCAAAGCATGGGCCCCGGCAATTTGGCCATCCTGGTGGCAATGGGGCAGGCTCATGCTGTGGAACTCCAATTCTGGGCCCGTGAAAGAAGCACAGACTGGTGGGACCACACAGTGTTGCGGGTCTGGGATGATCCCCAGTGGCTACGAAACTTTTGCATGTGTAAGGGCACTTTCATGGAACTTTGTGACTTGCTTTCCCCTGCCCTGAAGCGCAAGAATACCAAGGTGAGAGCAGCCCTTACAGTTCAGAAGCGAGTGGTGATAGCCCTCTGGAAGCTTGCAACACCAGACAGCTACTGGTCAATCGGTAATCAATTTGGAGTGGGTAAATCTACTGTGGGGGCTGCTGTGATCCAAGTAGCCAACGCAATAACTGAGCTGCTGCTATCAAGGGTAGTGACCCTGGGAAATGTGCAGGTCATAGTGGATGGCTTTGCTGCAATGGGATTCCCTAACTGTGGTGGGGCCACAGATGGAACCCATATCCCTATCTTGGCACCGGACCACCAAGGCAGCCAGTACATAAACCACAAGGGGTACTTTTCAATAGTGCTGCAAGCACTGGTGGATCACAAGGGACATTTCACCAGCATCAACGTGGGATGGCTGGGAAAGGTACATGACGCTCGCATCTTCAGAAGCTCTGGTCTGTATGAACAGCTGCAGCAAGGGACTTACTTTCCAGACCAGAAAATAACTGTCGGGGATGTTGAAATGCCTATAGTTCTCCTTGGTGATCCAGCCTACCACTTAATGCCGTTGCTCATGAAGCCATACACAGGCAGCCTGGACAGTAGTCAGGAGCTGTTCAACTACAGGCTGAGCAAGTGCAGAATGGTGGTAGAATGTGCATTTGGACGTTTAAAAGCACGCTGGCGCAGATTATTGACTTGGTTAGACCTCAACGAAATCAATATTCCGATTGTTTTTACTGCTTGCTGTGTGCTCCACAATATCTGTGAGAATAATGGGGAGACGTTTATGGAAGGGTGGGAAGTTGAGGCAAATCGCCTGGCTGCTAATTACGTGCAGCCAGACACCAGGGCAGTTAGAAGAGCGCAGCAGGATGCGCTGCGCATCAGAGAAGCTTTGAAAACCAGTTTCATGGCTGACCAAGCTACGGTGTGACAGTTCTGTTTCTTTCTCCTTGATGAACACCCGCGCCCTTGGTTCACTTTACTTCCCCGTAAGTCAACCACCCTCCCCTCTCCCCTTCAATCACCGCTTGCAGAGGCAATAAAGTCAATGTTGTTTCAAATTCATGCATTCTTTATTAATTTGTCACACAAATAGGGGGATAACTGCCAAGGTAGCCTGGGAGGGGTGGGAGAGGAGAGAAGCACTGGGTCGGGTAGTGGAGGAGGGAAGGACAAGGCCACACTGCCCTTCAAAACTTATTGAATGCCAGCCTTCTGTTGCTTGGGCAGTCCTCTGGGGTGGACTGGTTGCGTGCCCGGAGCTCCCCCATCCCCCGCGTTCTTGGGCGTCTGGGTGAGGAGGTTATGGAACTTGGGGAGGAGGGTGGTTGATTACACAGGAGCTGCAGTGGTGGTCTTTGCCTTTCCTGCACCTCAACCATACACCAGAGCATATCAGTTTGATCCTCTGGTAGCCTCAGCATTGTATCCTGCCTCCTTTCATCATGCTGCTGCCACCTCTCCTGTTGCTCCTCATTTTGTGCTTTCCTGGACTCTGGCATTGTCTGCCTCCACGCATTCTGCTGGGCTCTTTCAGTTTGGGTGGACTGCATGAGCTCAGAGAACATTTCATCGCGAGTCTGTTTTTTTCGCCTTCTTATCTGCGTTAGCGTCTGGGACGGAGATGCTAGTTGCAGCATTGAAACATTTGCAGCTGCGGGAGGAAAAAAAGGGAGATTAAAACTGAAAAAGACACATTGGCCATTTAAAAGGAGGAGCTGATGTTTTCGGGTTAACGTGCAGCACAAACCCAACTAACCCCTCCCCCCCACACACACCCAATTCTCTGAGATGATCGCTTCACCCCCCCCACCCACCGCGTGGCTAACAGCGGGGATGATTTCTTTTCAGCCACAGGAAAACAGCTCAGCAGGAATGGCCACCTCTGAATGTCCCCTGAATAAAATTCCCCTATTTCAACCAGGTGACCATGAATGATATCACTTTCCTGAAGATAACACAGAGATAAAGAACGGATGTTGTTTGAATGCCAGCAAACACCAGGACCACATGCTGCCATGCTTTCTTATGCAATAATTCCAGACTACGTGCTACTGGCCTGCTGTGGTAAAGTGTCCTACCATGGAGGACGCAATAAGGCTGCCCTCCCCAGAAACCTTTTGCAAAGGCTTTGGGAGTAACTCCAGGACAGCTTCATTGAGATGTCCCTGGAGGATTTCCGCCCCATCCCCAGACACGTTAACAGACTTTTCCAGTAGCTGTATTGGCGGTGAATGCATCCCAAGTCTTCAGGGCAAAGTAATCATTAAACACGCTTGCTTTTAAACCGTGTGTTATATATACAAAGGTATACTCACCAGAGCTGCCTTCTCCACCTTCAATCCGGGAGCCCAGGTTGGGAGGGTATTGGATCCAGGGTGATAAACAGTTCCTGGCTGTCAGGGAGAACGGTTTCTCCGCTTGCCTGGTATGTGCTATCTTCCTCATCCCCAAAATCCTCATCCCTGTTGCGTGAGACTCCCCCCTTGCCTCTTTGGTAGGCTTGCCTAAGCTCCTTAAGTTTCATGCTGCGGGTCCCTGTGATAGCTTCTATCCTTCATGCCCTTGGAGATTTTTTCAAATATTTTGGCATTTTGTCTTTTGGAATGGAGTTCTGATTGCATGGATTCATCTCCTCATACAGCGATCAGATCCAGTACTTTCCGTTTGGTCCATGCTGGAGCTCTTTTGCGATTCTGGGACTCCATGGTCACCTCTGCTGATGAGCTCTGCATGGTCACCTCTGCTGATGAGCTCACCACACTGGCCAAACAGGAAATAAAATTCAAAAGTTTGCGGGGCTTTTCCTGTCTACCTGGCCAGTGCATCCGAGTTCAGAGTGCTGTCGAGAGCAGTCACAATGGAGCACTGTGGGATAGCTCCCGGAGGCCAGTACTGTCGAATTGCGTCCACACTAACCCAAATTTGACCCGGCGATGTCAATTTCAGCACTAATCCCCTCATCGGGGAGGAGTACAGAAATCTATTTTAAGAGCCCATTAAGTCAACAAAAATGGCTTCGTTGCATGGACGGGTGCAGGCTTAAATCGATCTAACGCTGCTAAACTTGTAGTGTAGACCAGGGCTAAGTGACAGCAGTATTATTACTGATTTTAATTTATAACAAAATACCCTTAATTCTGGGTAGATTTACATAATTTAAAATGATACAAAAATATTAAAAAATTAAAAAATAAGACTCTCTCTATGGTAGGCTGAACTAGATTGAACCCCATCCACATTAACAAATCAACCAGACAAAAAACTATGCCTATATTCATCTTACCCTCTCATAGAAGTTCCTGCTTTCAACTCTCACTATAATCCCATTAAAAAAAAAGGATCTTGCCTCTTGTCCTTGTAGGTGAAGAAACTTGTGCTATTTCTGACCTAACAGGTGGGGGAATAACTAAATTCCAAAAGTCAATGACTGTTTAAAAGAAGGGTCCTACCACCATCATCCCTTTTTAACTTAGGGGGTACGGATAACCCAAGTGCCTCTGCTAATCACAGGTGTAGCAGTATTACAGCGCTTTATATGTGAGAAAGTGCAGCTTAAAATTCCACTTAGAAACTGAGAGGCAGGCAGTGTAAAATTACAGAATAGCATGTACCTTCAAGTGCAAAACATTGCTTAACCAACCGGAAGCCTCATTCTGCACTGCCTTACATTTCTGAGTTGTCTTAAGGTGTTGCCCCACACCAAGCATGCCATAGTAATGCAGCATCAAAACTAAATGTAATGCATCTTGTTTTTTAAAGTCCTAGATGTAATACATAATGCCATAGTATTTCTAATCCAGACCTTTTTCAAGACAGGACCACTTTATCCTTGAGTTTCTTATGTTAAAACCTAGGACTGAACCAAGTAACCTCACATTTGTATAATATGCATAGAAGAATCACCACTCCATTTACCTTCAATAAGTTACACAGTAAACACTATTACATTCAAACTTTTCACATTTTTTCCTAAACAGACCCTACAAACCAACAAGAAGAAATCTGATCTTTTCCTGTTTTAGTGACAAAAAACATAGCACCGAGCCACATGAAGTTCTCTAATGCTCATATCGTCCAACACTGTCAGGAGCTGAATGCCTGCTGAAAGCTCTCAAGGTCACTTCAATGGGAGTTGAAAGTGTTCAGGACCTTACAGAATCAGTCCTTTAATGAGAGAACAAGTGCGGCAAGTCTGCAAATGCAGCTTATGTCATGTCTGCCAACACTAGAGCAGACTCAAATAATGGGAATACTCCCTCCAGTGTCTGAATCTATTGTGGGTGTGCCCTGCACATTACCGCTGCAGAAAGGCACAGCTCTTCTAGGTCATCCTAAAGGGAAATTCCGCTAGCAAATCTAGTAGGAGCTGCACTAAAGTTGTCTCAACTACCAGTTGCTCTTTGCACATTTTTCTTGGCTTTACTGTACTCAACATGGATCCAATGCAGTAGAAATAGTAACATGTGGTGATCACTATGTTTACACAACAAGAGAAAATGATTTGTTTCCCTTTCTACAAATCATAAAGGATAGGTGCCAGAAAAAAGGGCCAGGTGAGCTAAAGAATTATCAAAACTTAAGTGCAAAATAAGAGCTACAATGGGTGGGCACTGATCCAAGGCAGTGCAGTATGTCTGAAGCAGAGGACAGCTTTTATATATGTGAATCAACAAACCACAGCTCCAGGACAATTGCAGCTCAGGGCCTCCATCTGTAATAACTGTGGAATTAAAAACAAGTTCCCTATAGCATAATTATTTAAAAGTCAGTGTACCAAATTCAGAGTTGGTATGAAATAGATGCAAAAAGTGGTGTGAAGCGGATTTACACCTGCTTACATCAAGCCTGAAACTGAGCCTAAAGTCTCATTCTACTTTTCTAAAAATAATTTTACAAATATTCCAATTTTATAAATTCTGTGTCTTAATGCATCAGAAATTAATATAATTCAATGAATTTTCCTCCCAAATTCCTGTGCCCAATTACAAGTCTATACAACAAAATGTATTCTCCTACTCACTGATTGCCTGTTATTTTAGACTTATTACTTGCCAAAATTCCACTCAAAACTCTTTTTCATCAAGACACGCCCTGAATTTTACTTCAGTTCCCAGTGGTAATGTCCTAATCATTTTAACTCTGGCTCACCTCTCCCTCTGAGCATCTTTTTTTCCACACACACCGCTTTCTCTTGTAATCTTTTCTCCCAAACACCTCAAGCTCTGTTCAAGCCTCTGAAAATCTGTTGCTGAGCAACAAGCAAGAAGAACTAGGATGCAGCTCTCATTTCTTAAAGGTGCAACAACCCTTTTAAAGATGAGAATTTTATGTTTTCCTATCTGATTAAGGCATCAACATATAGTTGGTCTTCCAGGATACTACCTATGATTAGAAATGCCCTATAATCCATATAAGGGCCAGGAAGCTCCTTCTGTTAAAAATCCTTCATATAGACAATAGTTACTCCAAATCTTAATGTTGTTTACTGTGAGGAAACTACAGCATGTTCTCTCTTTAGGGGAGGTATTAACAATGTGATGAATCAGCTGAACTTTGATGGGTCAACAGAGGGCAATGTGATCAATCTTCTTATGGTCATTCTGCTGCTGGTGTTTTACTTTGGCAGGGTAAGCACTTAGGAGGAGTGCATTAAAGATACAGGATGTTTGGAACTCTGAAGGTAGTTGGGAAATAGTATTGGGTGCTAGAGCCCTAGTAGTTGAAGCGTCTGTGGTGTCAAGGGAAAGTTTGGTATTGCAGCATGCTAGAGAATTACAAGTGAAAAGCTCAGTTGCAATGAAGTGAAAGGGACAGATGCAACAAACCCTTGTGCTACAGATACAGTTACGAGGTAATTCATAATGAGCAGAACCTAGATCCTTCAGTTTCATCAATAAAAGTCTCTACTACTTGAACTAAAGGCAAAGCTCTCCAAAAGTATCTGGGGGTTACAGTGGATCAAAAATTGAATAAGAGTCAACAACACGATGCAGGTGCAAAAAAGGCTAATATTCTGGGGTTTATTACAGGAGTGTCGAATGTAAGACATGGGAGATAGAGCCAAGTACCACGGGACAACTGAGTGCCACACTTTAGAAAAGATGTGGACTAACTGGAGAGAGACCTGAGGAGAACAACAAAAACAATAAAAGGGTTAGAAAACCTGACTTATGAGGAAAGATTTAAAAAAAAAAAACCTGAGCATGTTTAGTCTTGAGAAAAGAAGTCTGAGGGGGGATCTGATAACAGTCTTCAACTATGTTAGGGGCTATCATTCAGAGGATGGTGATCAATTGTTCTCTATGTCCACTGAAGTTAGGACAAGAATTAATGGGCTTAATCTGCAACAAGAGAGATTTAGGTTAGCTATTAGGAAATATCAGGACTTTCCAACTATAAAGGAAAATTAAGTCCTAGAAGAGATTACCAAGAGAAGTCGTGGAATCCCCATCGTTGGAGGTTTTTAAGAGCGTGTTAGTCAAACACCTGTCAGAGATGATCTAAATTTATTTGATCCTGCATAGGCATCCAGACTTCATGACCTTTCGGAGTCCCTTCCAGCCCTACACTTCGATGCCCTGGTCTACACTAGGACTTTAGGTCGAATTTAGCAGCGTTAAATCGATGTAAACCTGCACCCGTCCACACAATGAAGCCCTTTATTTCGACTTAAAGGGCTCTTAAAATCGATTTCCTTACTCCACCCCTGACAAGTGGATTAGCGCTTAAATCGACGTTGCCGGCTCGAATTTGGGGTACTGTGGACACAATTCGATGGTATTGGCCTCCGGGAGCTATCCCAGAGTGCTCCATTGTGACCGCTCTGGACAGCACTCTCAACTCAGATGCACTGGCCAGGTAGACAGGAAAAGCCCCGCAAACTTTTGAATCTCATTTCCTGTTTGGCCAGCGTGGCAAGCTGCAGGTGACCATGCAGAGCTCATCAGCACAGGTGACCATGATGGAGTCCCAGAATCGCAAAAGAGCTCCAGCATGGACCGAACGGGAGGTACGGGATCTGATCGCTGTTTGGGGAGAGGAATCTGTGCTATCAGAACTCCGTTCCAGTTTTCGAAATGCCAAAACCTTTGTGAAAATCTCCCAGGGCATGAAGGACAGAGGCCATAACAGGGACCCGAAGCAGTGCCGCGTGAAACTGAAGGAGCTGAGGCAAGCCTACCAGAAAACCAGAGAGGCGAACAGCCGCTCTGGGTCAGAGCCCCAAACATGCTGCTTCTATGATGAGCTGCATGCCATTTTAGGGGGTTCAGCCACCACTACCCCAGCCGTGTTGTTTGACTCCTTCAATGGAGATGGAGGCAATACGGAAGCAGGTTTTGGGGACGAAGACGATGATGATGATGAGGAGGTTGTAGATAGCTCACAGCAAGGAAGCGGAGAAACCGGTTTTCCCGACAGCCAGGAACTGTTTCTCACCCTAGACCTGGAGCCAGTACCCCCTGAACCCACCCAAGGCTGCCTCCTGGACCCAGCAGGCAGAGAAGGGACCTCTGGTGAGTGTACCTTTTAAAATACTATACATGGTTTAAAAGCAAGCATGTGAAAGGATTACTTTGCCCTGGCATTTGCGGTTCTCCTAGTTGTAGTCCTAAAGCCTTTGCAAAAGGTTTCTGGGGAGGGCAGCCTTATTGCGTCCTTCATGGTAGGACACTTTACCACTCCAGGCCAGTAACACGTACTCGGGAATCATTGTAGAACAAAGCATTGCAGTGTATGTTTGCTGGCATTCAAACAACATCCGTTCTTTATCTCTCTGTGTTATCCCCAGGAGAGTGAGATATCATTCATGGTCACCTGGTTGAAATAGAGTGCTTTTCTTCAGGGGACACTCAGAGGAGCCCATTCCTGCTGGGCTGTTTGCCTGTGGCTAAACAGAAATGTTCCCCGCTGTTAGCCACAGGGAGGGGAGAAGGTTGAGGGGGTAGTCACGCGGTGGGAGGAGGCAAAATGCGATCTTGTAACGAAAGCACATGTGCTATGTATGTAATGTTAACAGCAAGGTTTACCCTGAAAGAGTGTAGCCACTGTTTTATAAAATGTGTCTTTTTAAATACCGCTGTCCCTTTTTTCTTCTCCACCAGCTGCATGTGTTTCAATGATCACAGGATCTTCTCCTTCCCAGAGGCTAGTGAAGCTTAGAAAGAAAAAAAAACGCACTCACGATGAAATGTTCTCCGAGCTCATGCTGTCCTCCCACACTGACAGAGCACAGACGAATGCGTGGAGGCAAATAATGTCAGAGTGCAGGAAAGCACAAAATGACCGGGAGGAGAGATGGCGGGCTGAAGAGAGTAAGTGGCGGGCTGAAGACAGGGCTAAAGCTCAAATGTGGCGGCAGTGTGATGAGAGGAGGCAGGATTCAATGCTGAGGCTGCTGCAGGACCAAACCAGTATGCTCCAGTGTATGGTTGAGCTGCAGCAAAGGCAGCTTGAGCACAGACTGCCACTGCTGCCCCTCTGTAACCAACCGCCCTCCTCCCCAAGTTCCATAGCCTCCACACCCAGACGCCCAAGAACGCGGTGGGGGGGCCTCCGGCCAACCAGCCACTCCACCACAGAGGATTGCCCACAAAAAAGAAGGCTGGCATTCAATAAAGTTTAAAGTTGTAAACTTTTAAAGTGCTGTGCTTAAAGTGCCGTGTGGCATTTTCCTTCCCTCCTCCACCACCCCTCCTGGGCTACCTTGGTAGTCATCCCCCTATTTGTGTGATGAATGAATAAAGAATGCATGAATGTGAAGCAACAATGACTTTATTGCCTCTGCAAGCGGTGATTGAAGGGAGGAGGGGCGGGTGGTTAGCTTACAGGGAAGTAGAGTGAACCAAGGGGCGGGGGGTTTCATCAAGGAGAAACAAACAGAACTTTCACACCGTAGCCTGGCCAGTCATGAAACTGGTTTTCAAAGCTTCTCTGATGCGTACCGCGCCCTCCTGTGCTCTTCTAACCGCCCTGGTGTCTGGCTGCGCGTAACCAGCAGCTAGGCGATTTGCCTCAACCTCCCACCCCACCATAAACGTCTCCCCCTTACTCTCACAGATATTGTGGAGCACACAGCAAGCAGTAATAACAGTGGGAATATTGGTTTCGCTGAGGTCTAAGCGAGTCAGTAAACTGCACCAGCGTGCCTTTAAACGTCCAAATGCACATTCTACCACCATTCTGCACTTGCTCAGCCTGTAGTTGAACAGCTCCTGACTACTGTCCAGGCTGCCTGTGTACGGCTTCATGAGCCATGGCATTAAGGGGTAGGCTGGGTCCCCAAGGATACATATAGGCATTTCAACATCCCCAACAGTTATTTTCTGGTCTGGGAATAAAGTCCCTTCCTGCAGCTTTTGAAACAGACCAGAGTTCCTGAAGATGCGAGCATCATGCACCTTTCCCGGCCATCCCACGTTAATGTTGGTGAAACGTCCCTTGTGATCCACCAGAGCTTGCAGCACTATCGAAAAGTACCCCTTGCGGTTTATGTACTCGGCGGCTTGGTGCTCCGGTGCCAAGAGAGGGATATGGGTTCCGTCTATAGCCCCACCACAGTTCGGGAATCCCATTGCAGCAAAGCCATCCACTATGACCTGCACATTTCCCAGGGTCACTACCCTTGATAGCAGCAGATCTTTGATTGTGTGGGCTACTTGCATCACAGCAGCCCCAACAGTAGATTTGCCCACTCCAAATTGATTCCCAACTGACCGGTAGCTGTCTGGCGTTGCAAGCTTCCACAGGGCTATCGCCACTCGCTTCTCAACTGTGAGGGCTGCTCTCATCTTGGTATTCATGCGCCTCAGGGCAGGGGAAAGCAAGTCACAAAGTTCCATGAAAGTGCCCTTACGCATGCGAAAGTTTCGCAGCCACTGGGAATCGTCCCAGACCTGCAACACTATGCGGTCCCACCAGTCTGTGCTTGTTTCCCGAGCCCAGAATCGGCGTTCCACAGCATGAACCTGCCCCATTAGCACCATGATGCATGCATTGGCAGGGCCCATGCTTTCAGAGAAATCTGTGTCCATGTCCTGATCACTCACGTGACCGCACTGACGTCGCCTCCTCGCCCGGTATCGCTTTGCCAGGTTCTGGTGCTGCATATACTGCTGGATAATGCGTGTGGTGTTTAATGTGCTCCTAATTGCCAAAGTGAGCTGAGCGGCCTCCATGCTTGCCTTGGTATGGCGTCCGCACAGAAAAAAGGCGCGGAACGATTGTCTGCCGTTGCTC